GTCGACAAAAGTATCTGTCACTAAACGCAAAGAAATATCCCTATTTCCTAAATAATTAAAATTATTTAAGTAAACAGTGTAACGATTAATTCTAAATAGACAAATCTAAAATATTAAATAAAACGTTCATTACTACGCACGAAGATTTAGTATAATTTACCGATAATTTGCACAAAATGGAAATGGTAGAGATAAAACTCCGTAAGTCCGTACCTACTTGCCTTGGATGTCGTGGGATGTTATTATATTGTGGATCAGGTTTCAACTGCTTGGAAATTAACAACGCTTGTAGATGGTTTTCGCGGGTCGATGTCCTGCGCCGCTTATTAGTTCAAACGAATCGATCTTAGCCCCAATTTTTGCCTTTTCTTGTTAACAAGCGCAAGCGTTAATTAAAACAGCTCGCTAGCTCACGAAACAGTCTTTACATCTTTATTTGGATGTCCATTGGTAGACTGAACGTTTTCGATTTATGGTGAAACTTGGTGGTTCCGGTCAAATCAGCACTGTTCAGCAGTGTTCGAATCAGGTCTATCGACCAAAAGCACAAACTCAGGAGATTACTGCAGCACTAGATAACGGAAGTTGGCAAACTATTTTCCTACCCGAATTGTAACCGCTAGCAAAGTAACTAAGCTGGAGTAGTGAAATTAAAAGTAAATAAAAATTAACGGTCTAGTGAGAAATTAGTAATGAATTAAGCGGAAAGATATCTGGAGACTGGATAATAAACAGGACAGTAATTCTGGTATCTGGTGGAGAATATATAGGGATAATTAATAAATGATCGGATCTGGAATACACGGAATACGGTACTGAATTAGTTCTGGTCGGTTAGTGAGCTCTGGTAGATGTATCGGGATAGGTTTCCTGGTGAAATACAAAATCACGCTTTTTTAGGGACAGTGATTTCAAAGAATGGTTGACGACAGCAGGGTCTTATTCTTGAGCTCATTAGGAATAGAATTAGTGAGAGAAAGTGTGCGAAGTTTTCTCGAAAAACGAAGTAACCCATTCTGGATTGGTTTTAAGAGCGAACTGCGCCCTCTTTCTGTCACTAATTTCTAGGCGACATTTAACGGAGGAATTTTACAACACTTAATGGGTTTTTAGATATACAATTTTTACGTTCCGAATTTCGTTTTTTTTACAATATGAAGCACGAGCCTCTTACAACAATGCTACCCCGGCTACAAAATGCATGTGGTCTTCGCGCTTAAACTCACTCTCTGTGAGCCAGACCTCGAATGAATCTCCCCGCATTTTATATAAGTAGTCTTACTCACTATCGCATGATAAAAATAACGGTGCGTCTGTCGACATAGTATAAAGTGATAAATTAACACGTCAACGATACAATAGGATTTTTTATATATAGATAAATGTCCTCTAAATTAAGAGTAAAAAAGCAATTCGATTTTAAATTGAAAAAACGGAGCACCCGTTACGCTATTGTGCATTTTACCTTCTCATTTAATTTAGTTGGACGAGTTTAGAATTTGAAGTACTAATTAGGGGATGAATTATGTTTGAGTACTAGTTTCTTATTGGCTGTCAGCAGTGAATTTTTCAAGAAATCCCTGTGAGTCATGATTACCCAGTGTTGTATACCGCGATTAGTACATACCGTTACTTTGCTGTAGTGTGTCCATTATGAGAGTTGAATAGAAAAAGAAATCCCTTACTTCATCTGCACAAATGAATGTGAAATTGGAGTAGACTTTATTATTACTTTCCCACCGCAACAAACAAACTGTTTCCATGCTAGACATTTTACACAAGACTCTAATGAGTACCTCTCCTGTTTCACGAGAAACAGCATCTTGTTAAACCGTCTTTTTAGTTTAATGTCTTACAGTAACTACATACAAAGTTCCATCATCTCGTTAACAAAAGCAATTACCTACGAACTTTGGAAAAATTCCAACATCGGAAAAGCTCTCCTATATTCGTAGATATAAGCTATTCAGTTGAGCTTTTCGTATAATATAATCAGATACCTACTGCCAATTCCTGTCTTATTGCCAGCACTTTGACACAAATATTGAATTGAAAACGGCAGGTTATGTGAGCGGCATATTCTGTTGGGAACTAAAACGATTCTGAACGTCGCAAACCAGTGAAGTTTGCGCCATAGGGAATACGTGCTCGTAAACAGTCTGGTCCGTTACGTTGCAATAACAAGTGTAATGAATTCTACTAACTGCCGGGGTTTATTATAAACAGCTTTTAGACGAGTAGTAGCTCCAACCACAGTTTTTTCTATATTTGCTACTACAGCTTGCTTTCTCCGTATCCTGCACTACCATACACATAAAATACACAGTTGGAGTTCGTTTATGTGTCTAATGCCGTAAGTTATAATTCACAAAGCGTACAAATGAAACTTGGTATATGGATTAGTAACAAGCTAAAACTAATTCCAAGCGAGTGTAGAACACTAACACAGGGACCAACTCCCGATAGCAGGGACAGAGGTCAAATCCCGTCCTGAGACTGATGGCCCCCCACTGCTAGTTTAATACGATATAATAGGTTGCTGTTTTCTTTTCATACCAGGGATAATTTGATTACTTCATTATTATCATATTTGCGTAATACTCGTCGAGTGTGGTATCAGAAAATAGGAGAGATGTTAGTGATGCACTAAGACTTTTGGTGATTAATATTACCTTTGCAGCTTGCAGCTAAAAGTACCCACTTTTGTCAGAAAAAAAAAAAGGAAAACATATCTTGGAAATTAGAAAAATCAGTCATGTATCTTGCTTTCACATTCAAAAGCGTAAAGTAGGGTCAATTTATTCCAAAATTATCCTTTACAATTTATTCCAGGGAAATAAAGCTGTGCGATGAATTAAGTTTTCTTTTGACCTAAAATGGGATTTGCTTTTAAGTAGCTTCGTATTTGGCGAAAAACGTGGAGCAGTGCAGCCTTTCGCACAGTTAGAAACTTAACTCCACAACGAACATTTTATTACTTATCGATTTACTTTTTGAGCGTCTACATCAAAGCAGGAAAATTTATAGCTTTGTCGAAAAACATACTTTATTGCCTTTTATTGAACTTTATTAGCGTCAGATGTTAATTTAGTGCGCAATATATTTTGGGCAAGTGTTGCGCTTTTGGAATTAGGCGAACTTTTACACAAAAACAATTCGTTTTCCTGATGCTAGTGAACGGGGAGGTGGTAGAAGTAATTAATCGGATTTTTGCCACGAAATGACGAATGTTCATGGCCTGGAATATATTTATATTTTTCCCTCACTCGTGTGGTGACAGGTAGTATCATTTTATTGTGGTTACGCCTTTATGTTGTTTTATTAAGTATTTATATATAAATTCACGTAGAAGTATATTCCCAATATGATATTGTCCTGTATGTGTCGACTTACCATTTATTCCGTTGAGGAAGTCTTCATACATTTCTAGTTCTTCGCTGTGTCATGTTATTTTCTCATCGCGTGCTGGCTGCGGCTCTTCTGTCTTAGCAATACGAGAACGCGGGCTCTCTAATTAACTTCTTATCTGTTTAGTAAGTACCGAATAGTCCTCTTTTGGTTCAAGGTATAAAACAATATGCAATGAGACCTTTTTTGTAACGGATTATGTTTATATTAACTTTTAGTCCTAAAATAAGTCAAAGAATAAATTAGCGCCTTCCGTATTCACATCATATTTAGGAGCACCCTGTATATTAATTACACTGTGCAATATGCATATTGAGAATAAACTTAAGAGCAATGTATTCGCTGGATTAACCCTCGTTCTGCTGATTAATTTTCAAACTGTAAAGCTCTGCTTCTTGGTCGTTAATCGATTTTAAAAAATAACAAGTTACTAAGGTCGTATACGAGTTTCAGTAGTGGAATTTTTTTTACACTCATCCCGTATTCAGAAGCACGACTTTTAATCGGGCTCATATTCAATACCACTGATCCTTGAACTCGTAGAAATCGATTTGTTTTTTTGAATGTACTCTTAGTTTGAGTAACTGACTAAGAATGCGCTTTTAGTGTGTTAGGCGTAGTGGGTACAATTGGGATTGGAGGAATATGACTTGTGCTTTTGTCGTTGAAATGACGGGTTCTTATTTTGCGAAAGATGTAGAAATTTCATATTGAAAATCCAGAGCTATCAAGCTAGAATTGTCTAAAATATTTATCTAAACGTATTTACGTGAATGGCTTTTGTTATATCTTTTCGAGGTAAAATAATTTTTATAAGATTCCTTATTTGATTATCACGTTTCTTTTCAGTTCTAATTTAATTATCTATCTTTCTTCTACCTATATCGCATTCCGAAACTCATTTATCAATGAGCACGTAAGTTTGAATAAATTTGATTTTGGTCTGATATTGTTATTGTAGTTTTTTTTAATGTATGTTTTAGTGTATGTTACGAGCATTGGTGTTGTCATATTAAAGAAGTACCGTCTTTTGAATGAAATGCCAGTACTCACTTTCAAATCGTACTTTCTGTTAGATGGGATTGATCTAACACCCTGTATCTGAAATCGAAAAATTGCTACGCAAATGTGTATCTGAAATACAGGGTTGAAGGTAACCTGCTTTGCTTTTGTCGTTAGTTTGTCTTTCTGTTTATCTTTGCCATTGTCGTCACGGATTTTCCAGCAATTTATATCCTGAATACAGAAGTTGCTGAAGTATAATTAACTTCTTTTTTATCTTAGCCTTTGTCGTTATGCTAACTAGAGGTCATTAAGTTATATAATTAATATATTTACCTTTCTGTCCTTCAAGATTAGATTAAGTTACAGTTAGTAAATAACAGCTAACCTAGAATTCATTGAAAAATTTGGTGTTTTTAGAGTTAAATTAACCGGTTCGGTACACAACGTAACGCCAAATGAGGGGATTTAGCTCTAAACCCCTGTAAGGTGCAGTTGACTCAAGAATTGAAAGCACTTGGAAAAGTAATGCAATTTATGCGTGTGGTTTGATTACCTTTTCTCTGAAGTGATTTCATCCGGAAACACAGCTAATCAAAGTAGATACTTACTTTGGTCGTGTCCTCGTCGCACTGATGCGGTCCTCCAAATATATCCGCTAGTTCATAGTCGCACTGGTTTAATTTGATCGGTACGAAAAGTCCTAATCCGACGTCGGCCGATTTTAACACGTACGCGTAAAACCACACACCCTGCAAAAAATTGCAGTCGAGAAATGGTGCACCCCACCCATTGTTCGTAGTCTCGAACGTTCGCCAAAATACATCCGTCTCAATCGTGCGATTGGGAAAAATCTTTAATCTTTCGCGAATATTCAGACTTAATATTGGTAGACGAACCGAAGACGAGAGAATTATTCCCGTAATTTCCGGGTGAAGGGATAAAACCTGCTGGGATATGTCGGAAAAATTACTGTTATTACGCGATATTTCCGCGACGATCTTGTTCACTTCGAAGGAGATATCGAAACTCAAGTCGGAAGCGATGCGGGGTTCCGGAAACGTTCTTGTTTCACAATTAGTTCCACTGTGCAAGGATAACGCGATTTTGGAAACAGAAGCGGTTATTAATAGGAAGAGCAGTGCTGCAGCCGTCTTCATACCGTCATTATTAGTTTGAAGACATTTTCAGTTCGAGCATGAAGTTTCTTTGGTATCTGCAACAAAAGAAACGATTACACAACTAGCAGGAGAAGGAAATATAATAATGAAACACGAAAGAGTTACTGCTGAACGGTCTAATTTACTGTAAATACTGTTTTCTCGAATAAGAAGCTTTTGTCTAATATTTTAAGATACTTGGTGAAAGAAAACGAGAAAACAAAGCTTTATTACGTAGGTACAGACGTAGGTACGTACATAAATTGTAGATGCCAGGATACAAACGATCTAGGATTTACTATCATGAAAATAAAACATTTTCGTTTTGTGTTTGTCTGGTTCCCACCCATGTTTAAATTTCAAGTCCATTACTTCAAGTTAGTATCAGCAAATAGTAACTCGTGTGCCACGTAAGAAGGTTTTATGCAACTGTGATACCAAAAAATGAGGAGCGGTAAGCGATTATGATTATCGCTACCATTAAACTCTCAATCATAATCATAACTGAAATAATTGTTACAATTGAATTTTGGGGGTTGAAATTTAAACGAACAGTTTTCTGTTGAATAGTTACTTACTGTTATAAATTTGGCAGAATTGATTATTGATGATATTTCAATTCGGTGTTTTGTTCTAACTTCTGAAAAATTGAGTGGGTTGATTCAATGTGACTTCCTAATTCCTCCTCCCTTTCAATGGTTCAATTTTCTATCCGCATTAAAATCCGTAGTACCTAGTTATCCAATCTGAATTGTTTTATCAATACCAATTCGGATTTGATTGAGACATAAATCATTACATTTATTTATTTAAAGTGGACTTTTGTATCTCCGTATTTCCCTATGTAAATTCTCATCTTTTATTACTAGGACAATGATTAGGCAGAAATTGAGATTGGGGAAAATTCCGAAAATTAGAGGGAAAATGTGTTTTTTTTGTTTAATACTGTCATATGTAAGGTCTTGCCTTTGTTAGCTACTTTTGCATCACTATAATTTGAACCTTCACCTGAAAGTGTATAAATGATGGGACCTAGTGCTCCCAGTCTCAAATTTTTCGAAACATTCGGTACCACCTTTGCCATTAAAATCCTCTGCAGGGTTTACTTGGATTTGACTTGTAATACTGTAACGGGTGGTTGTTTTAGAATTTGGAAGTGCGAGTATGGTTAAAAAACAACAACAATAAGTGTTTTATCATCTAATGGGGAATAACAAGCTCAAGTTTATAGTTTTTTTTACATCTAAAATATTTTTTTCTACAACTGTCAAAAAAACCTGTCATTTTCTGACGAATTTCGAAGCGCGAAGTACTAGATTTTTAAACGGTTAATTAATAAGTAAGGTTGCCCTTGACAACGTGCGCGAAATCGTCAACAGTGAAAAATTAGTATATTAAGAAACAAGTTTCATAAGTGACGCGTTTAACGCACGAGTTCAAGTTTAGAAAACGAGCCGCTCGCGGCGAGTTTTCTAATGAACGAGTGCGATGGGGCGTCTTATGAAACATGTTTCTTATACTATTTTTTCTATTGAGAAGATATTTTCGAGAAATTTTTATCAAAATGATGTTATAGTAACTTTTTGTAACTAGGGAATTTTGATATAGAAGTTGTATTAGTGCAGGTTGTATTAAGTTGGCAGTACGACGTCCCAAATATTTCATTAACTTATTTAAATACACTCTCATCAATTTTGTTTTAATTAATAAACTTCAGAAATTAGTACATTAACTGTGGAACAATTCATAAAGGCAAAATACAGTCCTTCGTCCTTTTATATAAGTTATGTGAAATTCAGTCGTGTCACTGTCGATTAACGAAAAAGCTAATAGCTAACAGATTTCGCCCATATGACACTGCTTCTACTTATATTGGTGACTGACATAAAAAGAAAAACAAAGGTTTCTTTTCGCGATTTGCCATTAACGGTCACTAACGGATCGGTTCTTAGTGGGTTGTTGTTACGTGATAGGTGTCACTCATTAGGACGGGTTCGGCTTGTCACTTCCTCTTAGGAGCATAACGATACTACACAAATCAGGCTCACGATATTAATAACACAGAACAAGTGCTAAAAGCAATAAGCTGCTTCTTTAAAATATTGTTTAATGTGTTCCGAAGGTATCCTCGTTGTCATCCTTTCCCCTTTCGAAATCTCCTTTATAACCTGTAGGTCTTTTTTGGAAGATAGGTACACTATTCGTACTAGTAATCAATGGTCACAGATTGCACGTAGATGTTAAACGTGCTACAAAAAGAGGCATTAATCATTAATGTAAAAATGTACCTCAAAGCCCCACATTGTTGATATCTCGGTTCTTACGCTACATACCGTAATACTTAATTCCCTTTTCAGTTTTTGGAGAAAGTAATTGTGATATATTGTTCTTCTTGTAATTTGATTAACACTTTATCAGCCTTACATGTCTCGCCTTTAATCAAATAGAAAGGGAATCTTGTCTTTCTGTATATCAAAACATAACCCTAATTTGTAAATAAATACAATCGAATGTCAAATAGGGTAGTGAATTTAGGTTTTCCTCTTTAATACCAACTTAAAAACGGTGCGTTAATAGGTCTCATTAACGCACTGTTTTGAGCGGAAAACAGTGCGTTAATAAGAACATTTAAAAATCGAAATAGAAAAAAGTATTTCGCGCACGTGACAAAGTTGAACTTAAACAGCAAATTTAATTAACAATCGGTTCAGTTGTAGAAAAAAATGTTGTATATAACGCTAGCGCGAAGTTATTTCGCGCATTTGACTGATATTTTAACTCTGCTTCGCCTCGTCAAAATACCTTCAGTCTCAATGCGCGAAATTGAACTTCGCGCTCTTGTTATATAAATAACTATTAAATTTTTGATTTCTATAAAGTAGTGGTCGATTACTTTTAGGAATTTGCACAATAAATTTGTTTGATGTAATTTTGATATTCCTAAAGAAGTCGACCTATGAGAAGTACTTGCATGAAACATATTTTGTATTTTGTTATTGATAAAAACCAAATCCAACCAAAGGGTTCGGGTTGCTTTGTTCCATTGATTGACTTTGCATCTAATTTCAGTGATATATATAATTCCTTTGGGTTGATTAAAAAATCTTTTACAGCAAGTCTATTGAATGCTCTAGCACGGGCGGCTGATGTTGGTTCAGGACATCTAAGAGAGATATCCGAATGCCTTTTCTGGATGCCGTACAGCCAATCTTTTCCAGCTGCTTGGGATTGATGTGAAAACTTATGCGGTAGCTTGTTTATTTCGACCAACTGATCTCCCAGACTTCGAAGACCTCGTGTAATCATTCCGTACATTCTGATTTAAGAATCAACCATGTAATTCACTAGCTCTTCTTTTTCAGCTGAAGACACACCCACTTTACGTCCTAGTACTTTTAAAGTATCTGTGGCAATGGTGTTTATTCCCCTTTCCCGACGTTTTAGAGACATTATGGGCACATTAATCTGCCTAAGTTGTGCTCCGAAGACATCCAAGTCACATAATTGAAGTATGATGAACTCCGGACAGCTCATGAAAGTGATCGTCACATTAAAAACTAGAAAATAGGCGAGAGAATGGCAACCTGGAAAGAGGTATCTTGATACGGCCCAGTTTTAAAAGCGTTTTGGTCTCAGTGGGCCTCGTTACGGCTAGAGTATGGTCTTCCGTAAGAGGGTTCTAGCAAATGATGGCACGACCACAACTGTGCAGCTAGTGGTACCGACGAACAGAACATTTACGAAAAGTAGTGCGACATATGCACGATGGTATATCTAGGAGTGACGAAAACCTTTTGGCTGACGGGGTAGCCAAGGATGTCAAGATGTCCCGAGGTACTGTCGTAGAATTCAAGTTCCAGTTTGGGCGCTTCAGAGAAATCTACTTTCACCGTCCCGAGGTTGACTCCTACGGGACCACAGACGAGTTCTTTATTATCTCGTGACAAAGGACTGGCCTAGTTACGAAGATTTTTCGAATGCCGCCTGAAACGACAACTACAAATTCATGGCGTTACCAATTCCAAAGATCGCATGTGACCTTGATTAGTTGGACTAACGCATCGTGCGTAATATGGTGAGGGTAGTATTCCAGGGCACAGGGTGATAATATTGACCTGTTTGCTCCAGAGGAACCCCACAACCGGTTTGTAAGACGGTGGATTGCTTTTTTTTCAAGAATGGAAGATGCACGAGGGGGTCGTCGTGCAAGTACCACCATCAAATTTGAGCTATAGAGCAAGAGTTGCTTGGGATTGTGTCTCCGGTCGTCTCTATTAGGAGATACAACAGTCTTAAGAGGGGGCAGTGTAGCGAACATTCCAGAAATCCCGATAGACATCGAGGCGTCATGAAAAATTTGCCATGGGCGATAAAAAACGAAGACGGATGTGACGGAATCGTTCCGGGAAATATGATATGTTTTGCTCTAGAACATTCAAGAACATTCGAGTCAGTTACATAAGCAAATCCAATTCCGTTTCAGAATATTGTCAACATCGATGCGCTTGTGCTATGTTATAAATAGTGAGTGATATATAATAATTACTGTTACAAATTAATCCATTTAAGACTGTTACAAATTGATTGTTACTCATTATTCAGTATAAATAAATAAATCATGTAATTAAATTTACGTTACTATACGTTAATTTTTCCGTTCAATTCATTTAGGCTCTAGACAAGTACGTTTCGGATGAAGGTATTTCACTAATCTGTTGTAAGATTACACTACCGCTATTAAAAAAATTAAATGGAATCATTTGCCTCTTAGGGACTAGCCTCCCCTAAATCTGGTCTGTAGGATGGACACAGTAATTCTGTGAAGTAACGGTTTGCGATAATGGCAACAGTGTCGTTTTTGTTCGCCATCAGTTTGGTTTTAAGATCCCTGTTGCCATGTAATCAAAAAGCAAGACACTCACACTGTCCCAAACAATGATCCTCATCGACTTTCAGACTAGGTATTTGCCTTGTTTGAGGGTGGAGATTTAAAGAAGCCTTGTAGGTCTACTGCACTAATTCCCGTTTTTAATGCTGATACTAGGGTGTGGACCTC